AATGAAAGAGACTCCATATTCTGCATTTTAGCATTCTTAGGTTTGGCAAATGAGGTTACTGTGCTTCTTGCAACTTTCACATCCTTAGACACTTTCTCCTGTGCCTTCATTTCATCACCATGATTCTCATTTTCTGCATCATTGAGTTTAAAAAGCTCTGCAAATGAAGCTTCTGCATTGTCAATAATGTCGAGTTCATTTTCTTCCTCATTCTTCCGTTTCTTCTTCAACTTGTTTCCAACCTTGGAAACATTCTCCTCAGGAACAAAACCCTTGTTGTCCAAGACATTCTCATCCTTTTTTACCTTTTTCTTGGTTGATTTATTCTCCATGTCAGGCTCAACAGTAACTATAAGATTGTCTTTCTTTCTATCAGCCTTATCCTTTTTACCAGCTTTATTTCCCTCATCAATCACCCTGTCTTCCTTCTTGGATACATCATCAGTTTTCTTCCTTTTCCTACTTGATTTTCTCTCCGAGTCAAGATCGTCTGGGGCTTCGAGGTGATCATACTTCTTTTTATCTTTTGTATGAAATCTTGCACTCTTTTCTTCGCTGCTGTCTTTCAAATTTTGACCTGTCTGGTCTACTGAAAAATCAGGAGTTCCATCAACTACCCCACTTTGCTTATTGTCAGTATCTTTATCTACTGGTCTAGCATTGAATATCTGTAGTCTTGGCAGTGCCTTCTTAATCTGTATCATTACACACAATATGAATGAAATTGAATAATCATGTGTGAATTCACAGAACAAGCACAATGGGATCACCTTTCTGGTAATTTTATCAACAGCAGCAACAGGATTTCCTTGTAGATTAAGATTTCTCAAATTTGTGAGGAATTTGACCACCTATAAATGTAACATGATGAATGAACATGGTAAAGGGAGTTTGTTCTAGGCAATTGTAAAACATGCCAGAAAACGTGAAAACTCTAGATATGAATATCAAACCTTTACTTCTGACCACCTCGTGATCACATTATTCCCCACATCTAAATTCCGGAGCTTTGAATTGAACTTTAATTCATCAGGAAGAGACTGAAGTCCAATTTAAACAATATTAAAAAAATCTTAAGCACTGACGTCACGAAATAAATATGAATTCTGCTTCATGTATTGATACAAGATATTGATCCAAAATCACGTATTAAAAGCACACCTTGATCTCATTGTGAGCAAGGCGGAGCTCGCTCAACTCAACACAAGACTTGAGTGAGGTGTCAATATCCTGAAGCTGGCAATGAGAGAGGGAAAGCTGGAACCAAGAGAGATATCATCGGCAATAGGAACACAATGGTGAAACAAGCATCAAAGGAGTTCAACATATTGGGGAACCTCTTACCTTCGTGATAGATTTCACCTTCAGCAGAGCATCACCAATATTACGGATAGGATTTTTTGATAGAACTGCAGAAGTAGATATTGGAAGATTATATATGTATACCTTTTGTACATGTTCGAGTTCCAACCATTGTGAGTTGGTGATATATTATTTGGCCAAAAATAATTATGCATTTCAAACATACACAAACATAGATTAAAAGAAGAAATATAATGGTATTGGTTTCCATGTATACATATCAAGCAAGATTGAAAGGTCAAAGATTAACTTCTTAATACGTAATATGCCCCTTATATAAAATTATCAATGGCCTTTTACAACTTGAAAATGTGCTGCTAAACCTCCTAAAAGTAGAGTAAATTACACTGACAGTCCTGAGGTTTTCTCAAATTACACTGACATCCCTGTTTCTTTAAAATTATACATAAAACTCCTCTTTGTTTCAAGAATATTACATTGTCACCTCTTTCTACATACACGTGCACATGCATGTAGAAATGGATGTAAGAGTAATTTAAGAAAATCTTACTAGGTATCATTGGAATTTAGTCAAAAATATATGTAACGTATTAGGATCTATCAAGAAAGTAATTTCAAATTTTCAATTTATTTCATCCTCATTGGTATGGGTTCTTGATTACTCGTCTTCATGTAAACTTTGCTTCAAGAATAATGAAGATAATAACTAAGAAACTAAAAAAAAAAAAATCAATACAGCCTATTGTGCATTTGTGAAAGAACCATAACATCATCCAAGACATCAGTCGATAAAATTATAAACAACAACAAAATCTTATCGCACTATCATATGTAGGTGCTGAAAGCATCAGAGTGAAGGTATAATTAGTCATACCAAGAGTGTTCAATTCTTTCAGCTGATCCAATTTGCAAATGGAGGAAATGTTATTTTCTGCCAAAGCCAAAAAGAAAAGTAAGAGTGCAGAAAAGGGAAATATACATAAATAGAAATAACCACTGCTAATATTTTTCACATTGTACGAAAATTGATGTGGTTAGCAGGTGATTATGTAAAAATTCTCACCATTCAAAATCAGAGCTCGGAGACTAACAACTGAAGCGATCTGATCAATAGATTTAAGCTTATTTTTGCCTGCATTTAGCACCTGGTTCACATATTCATATAAAAGTGACTCCTAAATCCCCATGTAACTCAATGAGTTTAATCCGAAGAGCTAAGATTAGGCGTGCTATTTGACAAGATTCAAGAAATAAGTTCATTAATCTGAACATTTGCATGCTCAAACAAAGCAAGCGCATCAAGGAAAAGAGAGAAGAATTAGTGTTTGGTGTCGTGTCACTATTTCTAAAATCTTTGATGATAGTAAACAGATTCTAAGAACAATAAACTTAATTAAATTAAACAATTGCACATTCCCTATGAAATGAAATAATCAGTGCAAATTTGAATTCTTGGAAACAACTCTACACTTTTAGCAAGGATGAACAAATTAAATACCGTACTTATAATTCCAGTATAACAAGCAAGTATCAAGGCCGGAATCATGATTTGGGAGTTGAGGTTGCAATCATATCAATTTCAAGACAAGATGACTCTCCAGTCTCCTTTTCATGACCATATTCATACAAATGAAAATTTCCAATGCAAGTTTGAACAACCTACTCCTAGGGAGGGCCAATATAAATAGCACGGAATAGAAACATTTCGCTGAAAAATATTTGAATTGTTGAAAGGAAAAGTGATGTACCACCATTCTAACAACTAACAGGCCAGTAAGTTCAAGTTGACACTAAATTCACTACTCACTAAACCACTTAAAAAAACAAAGCACACGTGCATAAGATTGACAGTTAAAACTAAAATGTAACAAAACAAAACCCAAAGCAGCTTACAGTGAGCTTAGTGAGTCCTTGAATCCCTTCCAAGCTTTCTAATTTGTTTTCTACAACGGATAGCCACTTCAAATTAGCACATGATCTCAACCCCTGGAGTGGCATGCACAACACATCACTCGAAAGTGCCAATAATTTAAACCAAAAATATACAAAATGTCTTTTCTTTTTCTTCAATAAAGAAGAGGCAAGAAATAAAGTACCTCAAGTGAAGTGAGGTTGTTGAGCTTCAGGTCAAGCTTTTCCAATTTTATGAAGTTGGCCAAGCATGTTATCTGGGTAAATTCCAAAGTAAAAAAAAGTCAATAACTTTGGTCGTTATAACCACAAAAACGCACATAAAACAAAAGGGCATAGAATCTAACATCGGAAAGAGCTTTGTAAGTGAGATGCAGAGTGGTGACGGAAGATGGGTCGGAGACATTGTTGTCCTTCAACACTTGTTCGAAGTTCAGGCGAGTCATTGCCTCTTCTCTTTCACAGCACAAACACGGTCATTCGACAAAGTTGCCACTAACCAGCAAAGACTAATCGAACTTCTAAACCTACATTCACTCGCATCATAAAACCCTATATTTTTTTTTGGTAATAATAACAAAATTCAGTGAACATAATTTTAATAAACTTATGGGTTTAATATTTGTTCGTCTCTAAATATAAGACACTATATTGAATTTATTTATTCCCTTTTACAAGATTATTTACAAACTATTCCTTTTATTTCTCTACCAAAATCTTTAACAATTTTATTCACAAATAATAAAAGTTATGAACGGTTTTTTTCAAAGTTAAAAAATTGGAAAGTTAAATTTTAAAAATAAAATGTTATCACTATTATTTCCTGTACATACATTAATTATTTAGAGGTTATTTTGAAAAATATTATACATTCAGATAACTTTAATGCTATTGGTTAAATTAACTAAATTTCTTAAACTTTACTTATATTTACTTCTATGTGTAAGGACTCATTCAACATTTTTCTTTCAATTTTATTTTTAAAATTTTTTTAATTTAAAATAGTTAATTTACCAATTTAATTCTTTAACTAATTTTTTTCTAAATTAAATATTTTTTCATTTGGATTTTTTTAACTTAAATATTTTTTTAATTCTAAAATTATCAACAAAACAAATAAAATTTAATTATAATAAAATGATAAAAAATATTTATGTTTAATTTTTTAATAATATAATAATTTTATTATTATTATTATAATAAAAAAAGTGAACACACACGTGATTTTATCGGTGAATGTTAATTAATTTTTCATGTTTTGTATCTAGGAATTAAAGAATAATAGATAATTTTTTTTTTAATTTTAAAAATAATTTTTAACACGTGTATACTTGTATGATTGTCTTATCAACAACAATATGGATGGTCAATTATAGCTAGGGTGGTTTAGTGAGCCCACCCAACCATGTACGCCTTAGGTACAAACTAGGGAGCTTAACCAACAGAAAGGTCGACTGATCATACACCAGCCCAAATGAATGTCTCATAACTCGGAACCCACATCCCACAACTTGGAGTGCAAGTCACCGAGATCGGTTGATCACCAAATAGGTCGTCAGGTCATGTATCAGCTCAAATAGCGAATCACTATCTTGATGAGCAAGATAACGAGCTTGGTCGGTTATCAAATAGATCAGTCATCCATGAATTGAAGTTAGTAAATTAAGCTTAAAGATTATCAACTTAAGAGTATTATATAATTACTCACAATTGGCTGTAATTAGGTCAACGCCAATAAAAAAAACCATCACGAAACCTACAAATAAATGTTTAAGGTAAGAAGTTAAGTTATGTACATTTAATATTATATTAATTGCTAACTGTTATACGTTGAACTAACTTTGACCTTAATCTCACATCCGAAAAAATTTGTATTTTAAAGTAATTTTCATAAGCATAAATTGAGTTTAAAATGATTAATAGTTCAATATAGAATAATAATAACGGTAATGGTAATGATAATGATAATGATAACGATAACAGTAATGGAAATGATAATGACAACCGCAATGGCATGATCAACGACAATGGCAACTGTAACGACAACGACACCGACAACAATAACTGTAACGACAACGGTAACGATAACGGTAATGATAATGGTAATGGTAACAGGAATGAGAACGTGAACAATAACTGTAACAACAATGGTAACAGGAACAATAACAACAACGGTAAGTGTAATGGTAACAATAACTGTAAAAGTAACGATAACGGTAACGTATCAGTAACAATAATGGCAATGGTAACAATGACATCAACGACAACGATAACTAAAACGACAACAACGATAACTATAACGATAATGGTAACGACAACGATAACTATAACGGTAACGACAACAAACACGATAACGATAAAAGTAACAATAACGGTAATGGTAACAATAACAGTAACAATAACGATAAAAGTAACGGTAAAAGTAATAGTAACAGTAATGGTAATGGTAAGGTAATAATGATGGTGACAGTAACGATGCAGTGACGACGATGACGTTGACAGTAACAGTGATGGACATGGTGACGATGACAGTGATGGTCATGGTGACGGTCACAGTAACAATAGCGGTAACGATAGCTGTAATTGTAACTGTAACGGTGACGGTGAAGGTGATGGTGACGATGATAGTGACAGTGACGATGACGGTGATAGTGTTGGTGACGATGACGGTGACTGTGCTGGTGACGATGGAACCAACATAACTGGTGATAGTGGGAGCAACAATGATGGTGCGATGGCGGTGACAGTAATCGTGATTGTGATGGTGACAATGATGATGACGTTAGCAGTGGCAATGAAAGTGACAGTGATGGTGATGGTGAACGTAACGGTCATAGTAACCGTGACAGTCACGGTGACTGTGAAAGTGACGGTGATGAACATTGTGACGGTGACGGTCACAATAACAGTAATAGTCACTGTCATTATGACGGTCACGATAATAGTAATGATAACGATAACAGTAATGGTAACGGTAACGATGTCTATGACAATGACGGTGATGGTGATGAGGACAATAACAATGACGGTGACAATGCGATGACGGTGACAATGACGGTGATAGTGACAGTGGCAGTGACGGTGACAGTGTGGTGGCAGTGATGGTGATAGTGACGGTGATGGTGACGATCATGGTGATAGTGACAGTGATGATGCGGTGGTAGTGATGGTGACAATGATGGTGACAGTGCGATGATAGTGAGGGTGCGATGGCGGTGAGAGTGACGGTAACAGTCACGGTCACTGTCACGTTCAAGGTCATGAACGATAATTTTAAATGTAATAGTCATTGTTACGGTGATGATCACAATAATAGTAACGGTAACGGTAACGATGATTGTGACAATGACGGTGATGGTGACAGTGACTGTGATGGTGCGGTGACGGTGACGATGATGGTGACGGTGACAATGACAGTGCTTGTGATTGTGACAATGACAGTGGTGGTAACGATGACGGTGACAATAACGTTGATGATGCGGTGGTAGTGACAGTGATGGTATGGTAAGGATGTCGGTAAGATTGCGGTGACAGTTACGATAAGAGTGTTGATGATGGTAAGAGTGTTGGTGATGGTGACGGAGACAATGTAGTGACGGTGACGGTAATATCGTCGATAACGGTGAAAGTGACAGTGATAGTGATAGTGATAGTAATGATGACGATGACAGTGATAGTGACGATAACGTTGATGTTGACGATCATAGTGATAGTCATGGTCACTATCATGGTGATAATCATGATATCAGTAACGGTAACGGTAACAATCATGGTCATTATCTGTGTTACGGTCACGATATCTGTAATGGTAACAATAATGGTAATAATAATGGTAACGGTAACGATAACGTTAACGGTAATGGTAACATTAAGGGTGACTATGACAGTGACGGTGATGGTGATAGTGATAGTAACAATAACGATGACGGTGACAATGACGTTGTGGTGGCGGTGACGATGACAATGTAGTGACAATGACAGTGACGATGTTGGTGACGATGACAATATTGGAGATGGTGATACTGACGGTGCGATGGTGGTGACAATGAGGGTGGCTTTGATGGTGAAAGTGACAATGAAAGTGACGGTGACAGTGATAATTATAGTGTAGTGGTGGTAATAATGACAGTGATGATGGTGATGGTGATGGTGATGACGCTGACGCTGACGGTGATGGTGACGATCACGATAATGGTGACAGTGACAGTGATAGTGACGGTGCAATGACAATGATGGTGACGGTGACGGTGACGATGACGGTGACAGTGACGGTGATGGTGATAGTGATAGTAACAATAACGATGACGGTGACAATGACGTTGTGGTGGCGGTGACGATGACAATGATAGTGACAATGACGGTGACGATGTTGGTGACGATGACAATATTGGAGATGGTGATACTGACGGTGCGATGGTGGTGACAATGAGGGTGGCTTTGATGGTGAAAGTGACAATGAAAGTGACGGTGACAGTGATAATTATAGTGTAGTGGTGGTAATAATGACAGTGATGATGGTGATGGTGATGGTGATGACGCTGACGCTGACGGTGATGGTGACGATCACGATAATGGTGACAGTTACAGTGATAGTGACGGTGCAATGACAATGATGGTGACGGTGACGATGACGGTGACAGTGACAGTATTGGAGATGGTGACAGTGACGATGATAGTTACAGTGATGGTGACGGTGATAGTGACGATAATAGTATGGCGACGATGACGATGAAAGTGACAGTGATAGTGAAAATGACGATGACAATGATAGTGTAGTGACGGTGACAATGACGATGACGATGACAATGACGGTAACGGTGACAATGACATTCATAGTGATGGTGACGATCACGATAACAATAACGGTAATAGTAATAGTAATGATAACGATAACAATAACGATAACGGTAACGATAATGAAATGGATGTTAAGAGTGCTTTCTTAAATGAATTTATTAAAGAAGATGTTTTTGTTGAAAAACCTTCTAGTTATGAAGATTATAAACATTCTAATCATATTTATAAACTAAACAGAGCATTGTATGATTAAAACAAGCACCTAGGTCTTGGTATGAGAAGCTTAGTTATTTTCTATTACAAAATGATTTTTCGAGAGGCAAAATTTCGACTTAACTTCCTCATTACTTGTCTACTTCAACACCACCAAGTTCGACAAATCGTTCATTAAGTGAAGAAAGAAGTTGAAAAACGCAAAGAATGAAGATGTGTGTATAAAGAAAAATCTTAGAGATGGAAAAGAGGAAGACAGGAACCCACGATGATAAAAAATGATGACCTTCAAAAGAGTTTTTCTCACGAAAGCATGATGGTGGCGAGTGATGCAATTCGAAAAAGTAAAAATTGAAATAAAGTATCAAAAGAATATGGAAGAGCATGGAAGAAGAACGAGAAACATCAAAAACACATTTTTATTAGAGATTCAACTACATTTTCTCCTTTTTATTCTTTTTTAAAAATACAAAATTTCAGTTACTAAGCTATGTCATTTAAAAATAGACAACAATATGTTACGTCACCCTCTTTTTAAGGCCATTTAGCAAATTTAGTGACAAGGATTACATTGTTTCAATTTTTTGAAAAAAACAAGTGAGAGACCCAACTACTTCCAACCAATAAAGAAGACCTCTTGAATAATTAAACATTTTATTTAAAATTGATTTAAGTAAATGTGTTTTATTTTCTATTAAATTTAATCATAAGGATAAAAGTGTAAATTTACTTTTTAATTTATTAATATATTTTTTAACAATCACATCATACCCAAGCTTTCATTTCAAATCCATTCAAATGAAACCATATACCAAATTTCAAAATCCGATTTAGAAACTAACTCGATTTCAAAATCCAATTTAAGAAATCATCAATTGAAATTCATTATTTATTTTTCCTAAGTTTTAAAACTCAGTATTTATTTCTCACATATTTTAAAATGTAGTATTTATTACTCCCAAATTTTAAAATATGATATTTATTGCTCCTAAATCTTGAATTTCGCTATTTATTTTGAAATCCAGTTAACTATATGAAGTCTAGTTAACTAAATTTAAAATATTTAATAAATTTTATTTAAATGGATTCATATTTTTATTATTAAAATTTTAAAATCTTATTAACATATTTGTTGAAATTTTGTTTTAAGTTAAAAATTTAATAAATATTTTTATTAATATAATTTTCTTTTATATATTTATTTGAATTAATGTAAAAATAAAATTTATCACAAAAATTACACACCTTAATTCAAAGGAGTACAACCCAGAAGTTGTGTTTTGCAGGCCAATTCTGTTGGTGAGTTCGTTTTTATTAATAATAATTTTTTAGAAAACAAGAATTGGCATAGGTGAGGAGGACTTTCAAGATTTGTTTGCGTGGTGGATCATGATGGGTTTGCGATTCCAGCTACAAAATTTGGACCTCGAGTTGTATCATCAGTAGCATTCTATCCACAATTTCATTGACTTTCTGATAGCCCTTGAACCCATTTGCGAGCTATGTTTGTGTGAACTCTAACGAACCGAATGTGCCCCTTCTTCACCACGGCTTTTTCCAGCAATGTTTGGGATCTTCATTGACGATGAAGATTTAAAACTCGTATTTCAAGGAAACATGGATTAAAACGTGTTGCACCGTATGGCCCTGCCTACAAAATCGAATTTCAAATGCAAATGTGCTCGCAGCATTGTATTAAAAAAAATGCTTAAGGTTGGATTTAATTTTCTACCTAAAAGAAGTGATCAGTCAGTATTCATTTTGACGCGGGTCTACCACTACCGGCTGGTTGGTTACCGCCAAATATTATAATACGGTGAGGAGAAAGGAGCTGATTTGTCATCAGAAGAATGGTTCTGAGCTAGTCTCGTCATCCATCAAAAAAATTGGGCTGATTATATATACTTGCATTATGCAGCAGTCCATTTTCTTTGAAACACTGACCAATGGTGGTTGCTATACAAAGTTTTCTCAATATAACAATTTATAAAATACACAATAAACAAGGCTCAATAACAACCTATGCACCCCCTACACAATTTGGTGATTTGTTTCAATCTATCAACATAATTTGCGAAATCAGTTCCGAATTGCTAACCATTCATCTGGACCCCATCATTTCCTGTCACGTCACGCCACTACAATTGATATGCCAGTTAAATTGCAACGCCTTCTCTAAAAAACTGTGACATAGGAAACTATCTAGACCAAAATGGTAACCACAAAGCACAACCAATTTTACAAATTGAAAATGACTGAAACATTTCAATGTTCAGGACATAATATAGCCTGGCCTAAAAATTATAGCAAATGTAATTCAGCCCAAAAAAGAACAATTCATCCAATGAGATGCTAATTTAAAACCTCTTGAAAGTCATGATTGATGAGCATTCAGCAGCGCTCTATAGACCATATCAATGAATTGATTGTCCTACCACAGCCAAAAACAACAAAAAATTAGTATAATAATATTTTGCCTTGGTAGGAGATAGAATGACTGGATCATACAAAATTATCCACTTCCTTACAGCCATTTAAGATCACTGTAATCCCTACACAGAATATCACACAAGCACCAAACAAGTAGACTAACCTGAACCAGCACCAGAAGAGCATCTCGAACCTTTTCTCTAGAAATAACTGGACTGTAGTTTGGAGAGGGAGCAGGAGCAAGTGATGGTGGTGGATTTGGTGGTGGAAATGGCTGTAGCAGTGGAGCACCATATGGACGTTGTACATTAACAGCAGGATGAAGTGGAGGGGCAGTAGGTGTGGATGAAGATGCCGGGGGTATCATCATTGCTGAAGAAGGGGGAGGGACGAAAAAAGAAGGCTTCACAAGTTTTGTGGTTCGATTACTGCCGATGGATTCAGAAACATCATGATGGGGAATTGGAGGAGTAGATGCTGAAAGCGGGGGTATCTGTAAGGTTGGCACAGTGGGTGTAGCAGCATGAGTTTGCACTGAAGATGAAGAAATTGTAGCAGAGGACTGATAAGGCTGGCCAGTAACTGGAACATTTGAAGTATTCCCAATAGCCATGGCTGCCTGCAATAATAATGTGTCAGGAAAAACCATTCTCATCATCAAATCTCATTTACAAATATTGAACTTATCGTATCAAACAATCTTTGCAATATCAATTTGAATAAGTAAATAATCATAAGTGAAGCACCAACGTTACAGTTCAGCAAGGAATATGCTGAAAATTTGAAAGCTAAATGACGATCTAATTGTCTATAATAGTGTAGCAAAGAAAACAACGAAAAGTTGAGAATCGCTCAGGATTTCACAGTTAGTTTGCAGGGGCTACTCTTCCCTTTTGTCAATTGAGCAGCTTTCAAAAGATAAATGTAAAACTGGATATCTTGTAACACCTGAGATACTAAAATTGAACCATGTAGTGAAAGAAGAATTCAAAACTATAGATGGAATAAGCCAAAGTTGTATAATTTTAAGTCAATGGAACCCCTTTGTTTTCCAACAGAAATTAGCAGGAAAAGACTGTTAGGATACAGCTGAAACTGTTATATATCAATATAATAAATGACTAAAAAAGATGAACAAACCAAAGGACAAAATCACGCTAGGCACGCATGAAATTATCCACCTCCACTGAACAAATGTAGTCACATTTACTTGTCAAGAAAGCTTAGAATGGATTGAGAGATCAGAATAACATGTATTAGAAACAAATAACATTGCTACCAGTGGCACATACACTGAAGAAATTTACAAAGGATGGATCATCAGGAACATCAACCACATTGGAAGCAGTTGATGATGGTGGTTCAAGAGGACCATCCATAACTGCCATAGTTGGTACTGCTTCTAGCTCCTCAAACTCACTGCAACAAGTAAAAGCATAACCTCATTTACTCAGATTCAAAGTATACTGCGTGCAAAAATATATGGATAATGAGTAATGTCTACAGAGTGCAAGCTAAAACTGTCAACAAGATAGTAATCACCTATTGGTCACACAATAAAAATTTCCTTTTTCCAGAAAATGACTGCAGTACAATGAAGGTAAAAAATTTCTCAAAAGCATAAAAATAGAAACGAATGAAACTGAGAAAGCAACAATGCTGCCCAGTATGTCTACATCAAAGGCAGGATCAATGCAAATGCCCTTGAAACAGGCATGGCTAGTGCACCAGACTACAGGCAAAAACATAATCCTGAGCAATAGCAATGTATACAATTATATGATAATGTGACTATGTGTAAGTTGCAGTCATTATTTATCAAATGTAAACTACACGTATGCTAATCATAATCCATTCATTATTATGTGGTACTGAGTGAATTTATGTCGCATGCTCTTTCTTGTCACTATCTCATGTGTTTCATCTTCCATGGGCTACCAAATGACATGCAACAAAATGCTCGAGGTAAAACATATCCATCTAGATCACTTCAAATCCATTGAATTCGAAAGGAACGTGGATATGATTACACTTTCAAAAAAGACAAATGAACTAGAATTTAAAAAAAAAAAATCATGGGGGAGCAGGCAGAATCACTTAAACAGTTGGGAGCACATTATTACCTCTTTGTAGAAGAAACCTTTGACTTTGGTGGAACCTTGGCATATGCATTAAGGATCCTGAAAATTATGCAAATATATATGAATCATATGGAGACATGAATTTTACAAATTCCAACCAATCTAGGTCTCTGTGCTAAACATCAGCAACTAAAACCACTGGATGGAGCTGCTAGTTAAATCTTTGTTTTCCTGTTCTTTGTATATGTCCAATATTTTGAAAATTTTATTGCAGTTTTTATGATGAAAACCATCTGCATGATAGAGTACCAGTATTATTGTTTAATCAAAGTTTTACTACTTTTAGGAAGTGACATCATATTCCAAAAGTCTAAGTACATAGGAAAATGTCAAAAGACTATATATAGTCAAGTACAACTAAAATTCATGGTAATGTGCAAAAGAAAGGACAAGCAACGGAAAAGACAGAACTAAAGCTAATTATTGCACGTAGCTTATATGTTATCTGCAATATCATTAACTAGTTTCAGGATTCTTTCAAGGATTCAACGGATGCAAGAAAAATTGAACTTTGACTGTCATAAAAAACATCACATTTTGGTTAGGAACCCCTGCGTTAAATTAATGATTCATTAGGAACTGGCATGGGGAGAGTTGACCAATTACATACCTAATACCCACAAATATGAGAATTTTCTAATGATACTACGTAGCTTAGAATATTTAGAGTATCCTAGATGATCTCGTAGGCTTTGTTATTCTTTTAAATTTTATGATTAGTTTCCTCAATTAACTAGGATTTTGGCATATCATATCATGTATATATGATTAAAATCTCCAATAATTATTTGCATTAATTGGAATATATTTTATATAAAATGGACTCCGTTGTGTAGTTTAGACAGGTAGATCAGTGTCATAAGTTTCAGCCTAGTGTGTTCTTTTTTTCTCCTCTTTACCGAGTGTTCTCCCAAATCAACCAAACTTTACATTCTATCAAGTTTAGAAGCAATACACAAGTATGAAGAATTTGCTCAATCTATTGGGGAAAAGAAAAATTCTCTTTTCCTCTTTCAAAATCTCTCGTAAAGACTATGCTTTTTTATCACAAAATGAAATAATCCAAACATGCAAAATACTCCCTGGATTGATCAGAATCACTAAAGATGACAAAATTTGACAATTTAACATCATGAAAAAAAATCACAGGAGAAATAGCAATTTCATAATTATATACATACTAAGACCAATACCTGCTAAAAAGATTAGCAACCTCTTCACATTCACGGGAATTATAGAACCAGATACCATTCACTTCTTGAGCAGCGTTTCTATAGAGTAGATATGGCACCTGAACTTCATACTCGAAATCCCCCAAGAGATTCTCCACTAAATTCTCTGCTTATGCCATCATGGAAAAGGGCGAAATGCAAGTTACATGCAATGACATTAGGCAGTTCTCTACCACAAAGTCTAGTATCAACAGTCAACACAGTATCTATACCATATTTTCCCATCCTTAAAAACAGATTAAAAGATATTTACAGTTCACACAATTACTAATTCGCAATACTCACAAGATTGAGTGCAAGTTGATGTGCGCAATGTCTATCGATAGCTAATACCACAGCCCCAATTATAATTTTAAGGTTAAAACCACACCCACATACTGGAACCATGTTATTATTATATTGCCTTGATGAAATACAGAGGAAAAAAATAAGTAGCACTTAATACATAATTTCAAAACCAAACGAAAAAACGGTACAATCAACTGTCATAGATTCATATTACGAACAAAGATCAATTGCACAATACGCCAGCTTCCAAAAACACCATTTGTTTTCCCGTTTTTTTTTTAAACAAAATGACAACAAACAAAGGCAGATTGAGTCACTAACCAGTATTGCGACGGTTCATCACAATAAACTGAAATCGAGGTTGTGTGTTCCTGAAATTAAACAAAGCCATAAACACGAGATAAAACTCGAATCCAAACACCTGGATCGTCGAAGCGATGAATCGCGAGATATCAAGAATACTGAAAGGAGGAACAGTAAACAAACCTCTTGACAACGAAGAGAGATCCTTCAACGTCCTTGCGACTCTGCAAAGCAATCAGAGCGATGAGAACGGAATTAAAAAGTAAAAATGAAGGGAAAAGAGACAGAGAGAGCGAACGAACCCATTGGCTGAGGTCGATGTTGAACTCGTAGAAGGTGACATGTGCTGCGGTGATGAGAATTTCTTCAACGAAGGGGTCGATTCGTTGGAGAACAGTAAGATTGAGAAGCTTGGTGCTGTGCTGGTCTAGATTCGGCATCAGCTTCCCATTCTGAGACATTTTCGGTTGTTGTGTCTGTACCAAACCCTAGAAATTTGGGGTTAGAGTCTCTGCGTCTCTGAAACCGTGAGAGAGAGCACAACACAACGCAGGAGAAGAAGGTTGAGGTTGAGTCGATCAGACTCAGCTTCTTCCCAAAGAAAATCCTTGCTAAATGACAAAATAAACCTTCTAACTAATCCATACGCATGAATTTTAGTTTCTTATATAAATTTCAGAAGAGATAAAAAAAAATCTTCTGATATAATTATTTCAGTTTTTTTTTTAAATCATCCGTTAATATATAAAATTAAAATCTAGAATAATTCAGTTTAAACAGTTTAAATACTATAATGGAATTCGCGAGAAATAAATAATTTTGAACTTATTTATATTATAATATATCAGCGAAAATCTGTTTAATTTTTTTATGATGATAAATTTTATTATTATAATTATAAAATATAAATAATTTTTATAATTTTATCGTGAATAATTTTTAATCATTTTATAAATAGTATTATCATTAAAAAAATAGTTACATTTAAAAAATATTAAATTAAAAAAGTGATTAAATTTAAAGAAACAACAAATTTAATAAAATGATTATTTTAATTTAAAAAGCATTTTATTTAAAATATAAATTTGGAAGGACATAGAAAATACAAACCTCCTATTGTATAACATTATATATTTATACTATAGTAGAAAGATGTAAAATATCAGAAAATCAATTTTCTAAATAAATAAAAATACGTGATAAAAATATATGACGCGGAGGAATCCTCTGGGAGTATTCTTAAAACGCTTATTAATTATTTCTTTCCATAATAATATTTTGGTTTAATGTCTTTGGAGGTTTCTGTATCTACTGATTTATATCGATTGGGTTCCCGTATTTTGAAAGAGCTCAATTTGGATCCTTTTTATGTAAAATTGAATTAATAAAACCTCTGCCGTTAAATTCTGTGGACGGCGTTAAAAATGTTGTGGTCTACAGGTACGACTTTTGTAACTTCATGGTATACTCACGTCTTGGCAAGTTCTTATTTAGAAGGATGCAACTTCTTAACCGCTGTAGTTTTCACTCCCGTTAATAGTTTAGCACACTCTTTGTTGTTACTGTGGGGTCCTGAAGCACAGGAAGATTTTACGTTGGTGTCAGTTAGGTGGTCTGTGGACTTTTGTTGCTCTCCACGGTGCTTTCGGATTAATAGGTTTCATGTTACGTCAATTTGAACTTGCTCTATCTGTTCAATTGTGACCTTATAATGCAATCGCATTCTCAGGTCCAATTGTTGTTTTTGTTTCTGTATTTCTTATTTATCCACTGGGTCAGTCTTGTTGGTTCTTTGCTCCTAGTTTTGGTGTAGCAGCTATATTTTGATTCATCCTTTTTTTCCAAGGATTTCATAATTGGACATTAAACCCATTTCATATGATGGGAGTTGCTGGTGTATTGGGCACTGCATTACTATGCGTTATTCATGGTGCAACCGTAGAAAATACTTTATTTGAAGATGGTGATGGTGCAAATACACGTGGCATATAAAGAGGTCCACATAATGACCAGATGGACGTTGCCAATGAGGCCTTGCCACGTGTCAGCCCCTTCCCCACCCAAAATTAGGGTTTTAGATTGGAGGGAAAGGGGATGCTTTGTGCGCCGTCATGAACGGAATTTTGTGCCTGTGCCATGAGCTGCTTTCAAGGAAGGATGAAGGATCGTCATTGAGATTCTGGCATGAAGGAAGTTGACCTTGTGATTTGATACATTGTTTCTGCATTTGATTTGCAAGTAATGGAGAACGAAAGAACTCACAAGTTTCATTTATGGTGCGCCAATGGAGAAGATGAAGATATGTGGGTTGCTCTTGGGTTAATCTGCAGGCGATTCTCACGATTGGAGTTGCGCGAGGTGGAAGAAGACATTCGCAATCTACAACGGCAACATTTAGGGTGTGGTCGGATCTTGGTTTTCTCCACATCTGTTTGTGGTTTTTTGGTTATTGATGGTGAAGAAGATGATCTCGTCGCTGTAGATGGTGCGACGGCGGCGACAACGCTTGAAGGTTATTGATTTCTGGTTTGCTTGCAGGTCTGATTGTGGTTGCAGGTGGGGGCAAGCAGCGGGAAAGTGGCGATTCGCGATCTGCAGCGACGGCGTATGGTTGACGATTCTGTGGTGGAGATTGGACGACAGTGCTGCTAGCACGACGATGATGGAGGTGCAATAGAAGGAAGAAAACGGTTTGGTGGTGGCGCGTGATGCGTTGGAGAGGACGGCTGCTAGTGGATGACGATGACGGCGTTGGATGGTGCGGCGGCTAAGGTTTCTTGGAAAGAAATTAGGGTTTGTTTGGAGATGGTGATGATGACGTGTCAAGGTGGTGATGTGGCAGGGACTTTTTTAAACTTTTTTTTTTAATTAAAAAATCATTTAAGTCCATCTATTTGCCACGTGCTTATGAGATGTCACATCACCTAGTTACCAGACAACATTTTTAACGTCATCCATAGAATTAAACGACAGAAGTTTTATATTCAATTTTACGTAAAAAAGGAACCCAATTGAAGTCTTTCAAAAGACGGGAACCCAATTGATACAAATCCAGAGAAATAGGGACCTCCGAAGACATTAAACCTAATATTTTCTCTATTTTACTAGAGAAATTACTTTTTTTGAGAATACAATTTTTTATTTTTTTCTACAACTATACATATATTTCTCATTTTTTAAATTGATATTTTAGTTTAATAATAGTTTATTAAGTCTTTATATTTTTATTTAATACTAAGAGTATGGATTGATGTTTCTTATTCCGTTTATTCACATTCTTTTTGTGTTATAGTATGAGTATGTTGAGATAACTAACTAAATTAGATGTTTATTTAATGATTCATAATTACTTTGGGATTTATGTCAGATATCAGACTACAAAATTTATAGAAATAAACTAAAAAATAAATTTCAAGCCATACCAAGAAATTTACATGAAATAAACTAAAAATAGCTTATATGATTAATTCTTCTAAACTTTCTCTAAATTTAATTATTTACAGAAATGAAACTTGTTTATATTTATAAGATTCTTTAAACCTATAAAAATATATTCACATTGTCTGATTAAATCTTGATAATATGATATATTAATTATTATTTATAATTCAGTTATTTATTTATTATATTATTATATCTCTCAGGTAAATATTATTTTAATAGAAATATAAATCTATAAATATAATTAGTATTTTTCAAATTTTATAGGAACACACTTTCACCTTATTATAAAAAATTAAAATAAAAGTGTCTTCGGATAATTGAGTTATTATAATTCTTATTAAATTACATTATGATTCTTATATTAAGTATTTCGTTTCTTATATTTATTTATTTTTATTAAGGTTTTAATTCAATTTCAAATCATAGGATATATTTCTAAAGAAAACTGAAATTAAAAAATGCTCTAATATTAATCAATTTCAATTTCAACCTATTTTCAAAATTTTAATTTAATACCATATGTCAAATTAATAGACGCAGAAAAGTTTCATACAAGAAATATATATTATTAAAATGTATTCTTCTTTAAAATATGTAACCTTCAACAACGTTACTTTGTTTTTATTGTTATTATTATTATATATGTATATTGTGACACCCGGGCACTGACGAGGACGGGAAGTGATCGCCGGTGCAAAAGGCACGAAGTGCAGGGGCACTGACAAGGAGCGGCTTTTGACAGACTTCCAGTGGAAGAGACACATGGATGAATCGAACATACACCGAAATGAGAGGGATCTAGAGACTGTATAGGTATGAGACTATAGAGTTGAAGGATAACTTAAAGGGATTGATTTGGCTACTCATATCACCAAATGCATTTAGCCTGAAGTAATTTAGGGATGAGTGACATTCTGGAAAGTTTTCTCAGAAAGTGTACGAGCGAAGACAAAGCACATTGAAAAACCTCGTGATGATGTGTGGGGACAGTCAATATTCCCTATAAGTTGCCGGAGCGTTACAAGTAGTATCAGAGCCTACTCCATGTTAAAATATAAATATATCAATTATTCATATGTTTTTTAAGCTTTAGGTCTTAAGAATATAATAAACTCAATATGTAATTATTTAATATAAGAAAAAAATGACAAGTTAAATTTGTGACGATCTTAAATGAATAAATATAAGACAAAATGTCATTTTTTTTTAATCAGTTTTAAACATTTAATAAGTTTTGTGTGATAAACTGAATATATTTTTTTATTAGCAATGAAATAACCTCTTATTAAAATTTATTCTTCTTTAAAGTATGTAATATTCAATAAAGTTACGTTTTTATTATTATTGTTATTATATGTATGTCTTTATGGTAAAAATATTAAAATTTATAATTATCTCTACAAATATATTAATTATTCATACGATATCTAAGTTTTATTTCTTAGGAAAGTAATGAACTCGACATGTAATTATTTAATGCAAGAAAGAAAAAACTGACAAGTTAAATTTATTATGATCTTAAACGAATAAATATAAGAAAAAATATCATTGGTTTTTAATTGTAAGGTCAAAAATTAAAGCTTGAGTTGAGAAGGAGGACTTTTTAACCTTGGTCTCAGATTTGCAACGTGGAATTTGAATTACAGACAAACTTGAACATGATTTTTCACTTTAATGTAACACAGACACACATCACTTACACCTCAAACTCTTGCAACTTTACAATAATATTATACAAATACAATAGAAGCTTCTATGAAGCTCCACCATTACCATCCAAATTCTCTTTTCAACGCCTTTTGAGAGCCACAGAGGAGAGCACGATCAAGAAAATTAAGAAAACCGCAGCAACGAAAGAAGCCACCACAGCTTCACTAGTGACCTTACAGAAGTCAGTGTACTGTTGACAAATGGCGATCCAATTGGCATCTTGGCTCCCATTGTGCGCTAAGTACACAACAGCTGCAGCAGCCGAAGCAGCTGCCATGACCAAAGCCATTGTAAACTGCAACAGTTTTAAGTATTATTGAGTGAGTGAGATGATTGTTAGAACAAAACATGTTGGTCAATGCATTATCTTAATTCAGACTTACTATGTCTATGATCACTAGTAGAAGCCTTGGCCCTACTACAAAAGGCCGAACCATGCAGACAATTGAAAATGGCAATGAGAGGATGAGGAATACAGCTGCTGCTCCATTTGCAAATACAAAAAACCTGCATGCCACCAAAATAAAAGGATGGTATTTGCATCTAATTAGTGTAACGATTTGTGATCTCCTTTTGGTGTGTATGTTTGTGTGCCAAAAGAGGTATACATATAGTGACATAGCATTTGCACTAGCACTGATGAAGAGAAAATGTTTTGTGACATTTAAAATTGGACCCAATCTTTGTTATGGAACAAAAACTTACTGAAACATTGGAAAATCATCCCATTGAACATGAAACTGAAAGAACTGGGTGAAGAATGGAAGTAGCTGTTCATTGTTCCCCATGACGGCAGCAGCACCTATAGCAGAACTAATGGCTCCGAGCCTAAGGATGAAATCCAGGATTGCGGCACCCTTTCTCCATCTCCCCCTTGGGGATGGGATAGCTTTTGTGGAAACTACAGTTACAGAAGGGGGAGCAGCCTCAGCAATGGTTTTCCCTTTGCCATTGCTCCTGGTCCTCCTAGATTCTGGGCTCGTAGGTGCAGAAGCTGCATCCTCTTTCTTTGAGTCCATCACAATGGATATGGAAGGAACTCTTTTCAAAGGTCTGGAGAAGGAGATTTTTTTTTTTATGTAATGTGGAAGCTGTTACTTGTGTATACATATATATATAGAAGATGCATAAAAGAAAGTTGAGACATTCAATTAACGGAGTTGGTTAGTGAAGATGCTCTATGTTGCTTTGTCAAGTCTAATTCTGTAAGGTGTAATGAAGGAGTTGTTCAGAACTTACTTGCTCCACATCGTACCAAAAGCATTTTTCCTTGATTCTGTAACGTTCCTATACGAATGTGACAAAACCGCCAACCAAACTAACGAATGCCAAGACCAATAAATAAATAACCTCAAGTTTTATTTATTTATTCATTTGTATATCGTATATCTCAAATTTGTGCAGGTGATGACAAGTAGTTCAATACATACGAAACACAATACTGCAAGGAATGATTCAAGCAAAAAATAATATCATAAATCAAGCACGAATTAAGTGGTGTGGTTTGGCTCGCAATTTGATTCTTGGTTTTTGGTCATACATAAAACTATTCAGTCGTTAGTTATACTTCCCATCTATGCCTAATAGCTAATATAGTTCATTCTTAAAACTATCATAAATTTATAATATTTGCGTGTGAAAGACTACATAAGTTTTAGCATTACATTTATTCAAAAAAAAAATCTCAGCTATTGGTAATGTCAGTTCATTAAATTGCACCATATGTTATCAGTTAACCCACGTCTCGAAACTAAAACGACCAGATAACAAATGGAAGAATAAAGGGTACAATTTGTTAACAGCACAAATAAATTTTTTATTCACCTCATTTATTAAAATGTGTCAATCACCATAAAAGTGTCAAAGTTTTCTCCCAGTTTACAAGCTGCGATCGTAAAACCTTATATTACATTACATCCTTAAAAATTGCTGTGGTGGAAAGAATGACGAACACCAAAATTGGTATTTTATATTCGTGCTATCAGAGAACCATGATATTTTGGAAATTATCTTCCAAACAACAAATGGTTACCGCCTTTACGAAAAAGAATCAAGTACTATGTGAACTATGAATTGTGTTCTATATCTTCAGTTTCCATCCTCGGGCAGCAAGCGCTTCATGAACCCGTTTAGCTGCATCCGCTGTGTCTTCAAGAGGTGGATAACTCCAATTTTCTGATATCTGAATTTAAGAGAATATATACCGATTAAAACATGGATACTTAACCATACAATATGTAAAACTCATATTAATCTTTGCACTTCATGAATAAGTAGAACTCCAACTTACGTCCTCGGACCCTGTAAAAGCCCTAACAACTCCTCGTTCTCTCAATGATTTATGGAATTCTGTGAATTTCCATTTGCAACGCTCAGCTCCCATAATATACACAGGCTTCCTGTGGGAGAAACAAAACTGATTTATTAAAAACAAATAGCAGAAATGAAAATACAAGTATCAATCTGGAAGAATAAACTACAAATAGACACCAGTGAACTCTATAAAAAATGAATTCAGTAAACTCATTTAGAGGTCAAAGTGGGGAAAATCTATCATAGAGATACTTTTGACAGACATACCCAGTACTGCAAGCTTCACTTATCATGCTAACTGAATCTGCAGTGACAACAAATGCTTCCGCCCAAGCCAGATGCCCCATATGCGGGTTTGGTTCTGAAATTTGTGTTAGTGACAGGGATTAACCGCATTTTATCTCTTAAGATTTTTAAAAGAATCTGAGTTAGCAATCTAAACCTCAATAAATATTTACCTTGCCCATCCCAAACATAAACTTTTGGATTATTTCCAAGTTCTTTCACTATAATATTGGACACCTGTTTAAAAGACAAAAAAAGGAAACCAAACGTGTCAGAGACGAAAACATTTGCTCAAGGATATCTGCATAAGAAACTTCATGGTATACCTTTTGTGGAGTTCTCTCTGAAAAGGATATTCTTACACTCCCACAACTACCAAGAACACTGAGCAGAGATGTTACTAACTGCTTTGCTAGATCGACGCCATATGGACAATTTTCTGTATATATAGCCAAAATTAGGTATGTAAACCCTTGAAATTCTTAACAACTTCAAACTTTTATTCAACTTCCCCCACGCATGATCACTAACATTTCTAATTATTAAATTCATGAGAAAGCTTATTGTTAAAAGAAAATAACGAGTACAGAAATTCTGACTCAGAGCCGGTACTCTACAAAAAGTTTAGTCATTTTTAGACAATTACTACAGTACAGTAAAATGTATATTTCAATGTCATCCACTGTTTCCAAAGCCCCCATATGGTTTCTAGTGATGTACTCTGTCTTCCCTCTGCAGAATCCCCTGATTTTCTAGGATTTTTTATAAGAACTTTGGATGAAACACACAGCAAAAATTAGACGTTGTTAGTTGGAGAGCCCAAGGCCTTATATAAACCCTTCATAGAATCCCACATTTCTAATGGGAGATTTAAGTCCCACACCTTGCAATTGGATTCTAAAAATTTTCCATTTTTCCTCGAGGTATACTTGTAGTCCTTTTTCACTAACATTAAAATTATAACGCAGCCCAGCATTTCACAAACAATGACATAAACATATTGGTATTTAACCACAGGAAAACTGCAAGGAATAACCGCGCATGACTAGGACAAGTATAATAGGGAATTACTTGTTGGTCCTCCAATGTTGACCACGAGCAATGGCCTTGGAACATGAGCAAACACATCTTGCCATGTAATGGCAGCACTGCGAAGTGAAGCAAAATCTATTCGATGTAAGGCTCCCAATGTCAGAACCTAATGTAAATTATCACATATACAATCCTCAGCAATGGACAGTAGCTAACGTCAGAGTAAAAATCGCATTTTCTCTAGTGTAGTAAAATCTAATAGCAGCACAACATATGCCGCACATTACACATACCACATGACTATCTGGGGGCTCGCGTGGAGTTATCCAGCTTCTAAGAAACCTAGGAACCTGGTTCTGTCCTTCTGGAGTCAGAGGATAATAATCATGATGAGGTGTAATCACCATGTCAAACCTGTTCAAATGAGACCTTGGATGTTGTATCTGTCCAGAAGGAAAAAGAAACACTCGAGGTTACAAATCAAACAATACTTAATCGAAGCAATAAGCACCACCAGAAACGTAGAAGTGCAACGATTGACTACACCGCTTACAATGAAAATTGAGACTATTAATACATGGATAATCGAGTATTCTTAGGAAGAAGCACATATTACTTATTTTCATTGGATAAAAAAGAATAAAAAACACCTGGCTCAGCTTAGTATCTTAAAAGTATTTGCCCAAAAAGATTGGAAAGACACTAAAACAAATAGTAACATGCAAAGAAAATAAAGAAAAAAATAATTGTGTCTTATCTTGGAAGGATACATGCAGAAGATGGTTGAGAGGTTTACGATGCATGAATTTAAACATGTGAAAACACCTTTTAGATACCACACAACACAAGGCTCTTGGTTACCCAAGCTCCTAATACAGAGAAAGAAAGGAGAAAGATAAAGACTACTCCATATGTTAATAGAGTAAGGAGCATAATGTTTGGGATGGTTTGTAGGAGACCAGATCTGGCGCATGCTATTAGTGTGGTTAGCAGGTTCATGGCAGATGATGGACATGCTCATTGGGAGGCTTTGAAGTGGGTCTTGAGATATTTGAATGGAACAATATCGTCTGGTATAGTGTATAAACAATCTAAGCATAGCAAAGATGCTATAAAGGGGTTTGTAGACCTTGATTACTCAAGGAATGTTGATACTAGTAAATCACTTTTTGGATATGTTTTTACATTATTTGGAACTGCGGTATGCTAGAAATCCAGTTTCCAATCAATGGTGGCTTTAACTAGCTACTACTCAAACACAGTATATTGCACCCACAAAGGGGGTGAAGGAGACATAGTGCTTGAAAGGGATGATTGGAGAGCAGGGAGTTGTATAGAACTATGTGACTATTCATTGTGATAGTCAAAGTACCATACATCTAGTTGATCATCATATCTACCACAAAAGGATGAAATACACACACATTAGACTACACTTCGTGAGAGATGTTATTGAGTTTGGGAAGGTCAAAATCGAGAAGATAGTCTTGGAGATGAATCCGCATCTGTTTACAAAGTCCTTGCCAACGTTGAAGTTCAACCAAAGGAAGATGATGCTGAGAGCTCTTCCATGATTTGAAGTCAAGGTGGAGAATTATGATAGTTGGCTCTAAATGACATTCAATCGACAATTTGGAGAGCTTAGTCAAACGGTTAGACATCTGATAAAAAAGAGTAGAAGGCCATGTTCTAGAAATCATCTAGTAGTGATGTCCAGGCCATCTAGTGCATGCCTTTATAAGACTTTGTTATCTAAACCGTTTTTTTCTGGTATTCCCTTAACTTAGATTCTATATACAGATACAGCTGTGGACTTAGAAAATACATCGAAAATGTGATAGACTCTGCATAAAACCTCCCCGTTTTAATAAAATTGTTTTTTTTTCAATCTTGTTATTCTTGATAACCCAACATAACAAATCAAAGAACAAAATCATTCAGAGCATTAAACGCGAGAGCAGACCTGAACAACAAAAACAAGGTCAGGAGCTAAACGTTTTATGGAACTCGCAACAGAAATCGTGTCTCGTCCAGATGCAACCACCAATAACGGTCCCTCCCTGTAAAAGCAATAAAATATCAATCACAGTATTACTTCCAACACATCAAATTACAGTTACAAGAAGTGGAATAGAAATTCACTTTTCGTAAGTTTCGCGAACCAAATTGACTACATGTTTCGCATCAGCTTCAAGAATAGAAGACAACCCGTTAGGGTGCGAAGTGATGGGAAGGTACTGAGATTTGGAGGAAAAGGCGCGGAACAAGGAAAATAGGTAATGGAATTTTTGATGGAGAGAGAGGGGAAGCCATTGGAGCCAATCGTCGATACCACCTTTCGGCCTCGTAACGCGCTGGAACAAAAAGATGAATCAGTAAAGAGAGAAATAGTTAGTTGGAAGATTGTAACGGAAAATAAACAGCGTACGTATAGGAGATGG